AATTGCTTTGATTTTTGCTGGATCTATCTCTATACCTCTCTTGCTGACAATAAATCCCAACAGCTTATCCGCAGGTGCTCCGAAGGCGCATTTTGCAGGATTTAGCTTCAAATTGTACTTCCGTAACCTCTCGAATAATTTCTTCAGATCAACCAAGTGGTCCTCTGCCCTTTTAGACTTGATTATAATATCATCCACGTAGACCTCCATCTCCCGGTGGATCATATCATGAAATAGGGTTGTCATGGTCCTCTGATACGTTGCTCCAGCATTCTTTAAACCGAAAGGCATCACTCGGTAGCAAAATGTGCCCCAAGGGGTGATAAAAGCAGTTTTCTCCCTATCTTCTTCTGCCATCAAGATCTGGTGGTAACCAGCGAAACAATCACAAAAAAATTCAATTTCATGCCCCGCGGTATTGTCCAGGAGAATGTGAATGTTTGGTAAAGGAAAATCATCTTTAGGGCTAGCTTTATTGAGGTCTCTATAATCAACACAAACTCGCACATCTCCACTCTTTTTTGGAATAGGGACTGGATTTGAAAGCCAAATTGGGTAATGGGAAACAATGATAATGTTGGTTTTGAGCTGCTTTTCAATTTTCTCTTTTATCTTGAGGCTCATATCTGGTTTGAATTTTCTGGGTTTCTGCTTTACGGGTGAAAAAGAAGGGTCGGTGGGCAATTTATGAACTACCACATCAGTTGAAATACCAGTCATATCATCATAGGACCATGCAAATACATCCTGGAACATAGTCAAGAATTCAATCATCTCCTTTTTCTGCTTCTCATTCAAGTGAATACTAATCTGCACCTCCTTAACTTCATCCTCAGTGCCAATGTTAACCTTTTCTGTTTCTTCCAAGTTCGGTTTTGGTTTTTCCTCATATTGTTCAAGGTCCTTTGCAAAAGAATCGAATACCTCCTCATTATCACTCTCGTTTTGGAGTTCGGATTCACAGACCTCCAAGTCGTGAGTGATATAGAGATTGCCGTTATTGAATTCCAGAATTGTGATATCCAAAGGGTCAAATAATTTTATTTTTGGCCATCTGAAAGAATTAACGAATGTGGGATAATAAGCCAATAAACATACAACAAACAAATGAACAAGCAATGTGAATATAAACAAGCGAATAAACAACACAATATGACAAGAACAACTTGTGCATTTCATAAAACCTTTGATTGAAAGCAAATTGAAATGAAAACTTAACAATATTTACATGCGCAAAAATAAAATTGTTTTCATTAGCTATTTACAGATGCAAAAGTATTTTCATGAATTCACGTGAATGATAAACCCCTTTCAGTTTACCGAAACTCCTTCCGAACGGGCAGGGACTCGGCTGTCCAATTGGGAATTGATCCTTCGGGGATGTCAGGAAATTCAGCTTCGCCTGGAACACTATCTTCAAATGTTGCCCCAACGAACAATTGGGCCAAACTTGCTTCAATTTCGTCAACTGGGTTGATTTCCGACATGATCACCTCGGCTGGTCGTGGGAAAGTATAATGCAGTGGTGGAATGTCAAGAGCCCTTTGCCTCCCTTCTTTCTCCGCTCTCTTACGCTCCTTCATTTCTCTGATGTCCTTGGCAGTCGGTAGGAAACCCAAACCAAATGAATTCTTTTTCTCCATAATCTCTACTGGCTTCAGAATTCCTTGCAAATCTCGTCCCAGCCCTTTATCAAATTCATTGCCTCCACGGATCATTTCTTTGGCCATCATGACACTGGCCTTTGGTAAAGTTCGCTCCTCGTTTCTGATCCAACTTACAGAGACGATATCAGCCGTGCTATGAGGAGTCATGGTGACGTTGCGGCTTCCATCCTCTTTTGACCCAGAATCGGTGATTACAAGGCAATCTTCTTCGGCAAATATAGTGATCAGCTTGTCATTTACTACAAACTTCAGCAACTGATGCAATGAAGACGGCACAGCTCCGGACTTATGAATCCACGGCCTTCCAAGCAAAACGTTGTAAACACTAGGAAAGTGCATGACTTGGCAGGTTATTTGAAATTGTGCGGGACCCATCTCAACTACTAAATCCACTTCTCCTATCGGCTCCCTTTGTGCTCCATCAAAACCTCGGACTATGGTCCCTGAAGGCCTCAGCTTGACGTCTTGCAATCCTAGCTTTTCCAAGGTGCTCCAGGGACATATATTAAGAGCGAATCCATTGTCAATCAATACCTTCGGTAGCATTTTTCCGTTGCACCTCACAACTATGTACAGGGCCTTGTTATGTCCAATGCCTTCCGCCGGTAATTCCTCGTCAGAGAAAGTGATTTGCTTGGTAAATAACACATTTCCAACTACATGTGAGAAATTATCAACTGAAATGTCCTTAGGGATTTGAGCTTTGGTCAACACCTTGATCAGCGCGTCCCTATGCATATCTGAAGAAAAAAGTAGATCCAACATGGATATCTGGGCAGGCGACTTGCTCAGCTTCTCAACTACATTGTACTCACTTCTCTGAAGTCTCTTAAGGAAATCCAAGGCTTCTTTCTCGGTGATTGTTGGTTTAACGGGCGGCTCGGAGTTATTTGCTTGAATCGGAATGGCAGCTTCAAATGGACTTGCAATCTTCCCCGATTTGGTGACCGCTGACACTTCTTCCTTTGCAATTATCTTTTCCCCAATCTGTATGACAGGTTCATCATAGTTCCACGGTACTTGTTGCAGGCTCAGAACAGGCTCCTGCTTCGGGAATTCAATAACCACCGGCTCCAAAGACTCACTCTCAGCTGGCGTGAGATCCAAGATAAAGGGCTTTTCGTCCTCTTCAAATGGCAGTTCTATGACAAAAGGTTGGTCGGTGACCCCAAACACTTCAGCCTCTCTTGCCAATTCTCTGACTGGTTCCACATATTCCGTATCATCCAGAATAACCCCAATAATATTGGCATGTTCCGGTAAAGGGTTCCTATTTACATTCGGCCCTTGCTCCTCCCTTTTTCGGATTACAATCTCCCCGGCTTCAACCATATCTTGGATTTTATGTTTAAGCGCCTTGCAATCAATAGTCGAATGTCCGGCAGCCCCTGAATGATAAGCACAGACGGCTTGCGGGTTATACTAGGCGGGCATGCCATATGGGTAGGTCGGAGGGGGTACCGTACCAATTTTCCCGGTGGCCTTTAATTGTCCATACAATTGATCCAGAGGCCTACCTAGGTTGGTAAATATACGGCTAGGGGGTCGGTTGTAATGTTCAGGAGGTTGAGGATGGTTATAAACAGGTCTATTTGGTGGAGGAAATCTTGGGTTATATGGAGGGCGAGGTCGGTTTTGGGGTGGATTTGATTGAGAAATTTGAAAAGGAACTGAAGGTGGGTTAGGGTAACTTGGGCGAGGTCGAGGGTGATGGATGTTGGTAGTATATACAGGATGTGGATTTGAGTAGTAAGGGTAATGGGGTTGGTAGATTGGGTTGTGTTGATATCGGGGTCTAGGTGAAGGGTTTTGGTTCCAGATAAAGATTGCGTCCCCCTCCTTCTTTTTGAATGGCGGTTTCTTCACATTGCTTCCTTGCCCTTGTAAAGCATCCAACTGAGATTTAAGGGCGGAGACATTGACAATCTTCCCAGCTCTCACAAAGTCATCAAACTCCTCAAGTTTATTTACAATTGCAGCAAACGAACATCCAGTCATACGGAAAATCTCTTCGAAGTACGGCGGATCATGGGCTTTTATGAAAGTACGTATGATTTCATCCTCGGTCATTGGTGGCTCGACCTTTGCAGCTATTTTTCTCCACCTCTTGGCATAGGTTTTGTGGTCTTCAGAAGGTTTCCTTTTCGTTCCTTCTAACGTAGTTCGGGTCGGAGCCAACTCGCAGTTGTACTCGTACTGCCTCACAAATGCAGTAGACAAATCAATCCAGGTTTTCACATCTTCAAGCTTCAGGTTGGAATACCAGTCAAGCGCATCCCCTTCCAGACTCTCGGGAAACAACCTTAAAGGCAAATTCTCATCGTCTACGGGTTTTCCCAATTTGTTGGCAAATAGTCGGAGATGTGTCTTGGGATTACCCGTCCCATCATATTCGTTAAATTTAGGGGTTTTGAACCCCTCAGGCAATTGCACGTTCGGAAAAATGCACAATTCATCATAATCCAGGACTCCCTGCTTATTTAACCCCTGGCTCTTTCTCATAAATTCATCGAAACGATCTAGACGTTTGAGCAACTTCGTATCAATTGGAGCAAAAGATTCACCCATTTCTGGCTTATTTTGAAAAGTGTGCTCCGGCACCACGGGCTCTGCGGTAGGCTGATAAAAAACTGGTGGGTTCAAATGCATGTTTGGGTCGCTTTGAGGCTGAAATCTTTGACCATAAGGAGGGTAGAAAGGAGGATTTTGAGTAAAAGCATATTGCGGGTTAAAAGTTCCCTCAAACGTGGTTTGAAATGGAGGAATAACAAATGGTTCGGATTGTGGTTGTGTAGCGGGTACAGGCTCAGGTTGCACTCCGCTACTAACGAGCTCGTCAATCAACTTCTTCTGAGCGGCCATTTCTGATGCCATTTCCCCAAATTTTGTGAGTAACTCTGTCAACTGAACCCCAGGACTTGCGGCTTCCGGGTGGGTAGTTGCAACGGCCTTATCAGATGATTCTGGTTGAGTACTCATGTCTACACGATTCCTTTGGGCCTTACTTCGGGATCGCATAATAATGGGGTTTTTCCGAAAAGCTATTTTGAAATTTACCTGAGAATGCAAAAGACTTCTTTAGATAAACCAATCGTCACTAGTTTTTCTGCAATTTATTCAAAAGAGAAAAAGAAAAAGAAAAAGAAAAAGACATGAGTTAGTAGCTATTCGAACAATTCGGATGCATGTCCTATTTGGGGAACCCTTTTTGTGCCAAGGGTAGGCCTAGCATGATGCAACACTTTCGAAATGAGACCCATTAATCAAACCTGTTATTTGACAAACACTTTGTGAAAAGAGATTCATTTCATTGCAGAAACCAAATACATCTGTTTACATCATATCGTGAAGGCGATTTCGTACAAGATCACCAAAGTTCCTAAGCCTATCTAGTACAGAGTCTTTACTTTCTCTAGCATATGGCATCTTGACACGTTCGGCTTGATCATATAATTCCCCACATTTCCGCTTCATCTCTTGGCGCCTTTCTCGCTCCTTCTCATATAATCTCTTGTTTTCTTCTGCCTTTCCTTTGTGCACTTCGATGGATTTCTTCAACTGTACCACCTCCATGTGCTTGGCTTTAATGATGGCTCTCAGCTTCTCAATTTCCTCATACGGCTCATGTTGCAACCCTTGCGTGGTGGAATCTTTCAACCAATCCTCGTATGGTGCGGTCATTACCCCCTTCTGTTTGAGCTCCGGAAGATAACGAATGCTTCTATCGTCGGATATTGTTCTCCAAGATTCAGTGATTTGGCTCTTCATAGGGATCTCTTTTGGGCATACCCCCTGATCAAAGAAAATGGTGACTTCACTAAACTCGGAAATCGGTGGCGGCCCCTGAATGCGACCTAGTTGTCTGAGAAATCTTTTCGGGGTATACGAGATGATTCCTTGAGTTCCCAGCAAGAGAACACGTTCGGATTCCTTAGTGCGAAGTATCGGCTCAAAGCAGTCTGTCCAATCTAATACCCACCTAATGTTGAAATCTTGCAATGTTTCCAAGTAATCCACACATTCGGATGCGTTCTTAGGTAGATCTCCCTCGTTGACTCTTTTGGGATGTGTGATTACCCAATTATATCCAACCACCGGCAAACTATCGGCAACTGATGCTTGTCTCTTAAAATGTCCCGTAGCCCATATGTATAAAATCAAGTTCGCCCCATGGAAAAACTTTTCTCCCTTTCGACAACCAGTACAAGCTAAGAAAATATCTGCGAGAATGGTCGGGACTATAGAACATTGCTTACCCTGAATTCCTAAGAAAAGGTCATTCACAATTTTTGCTGATTTAAAGGCTATCTTTTGATCTTTTCGCGGAAAGAGATAGGTCCCAGCCATAACTACCCCATATACTAGTAGCCTTTTGCGCTCCCATACGGCTTTGGAAGTGAACACAAAATCCGTCACATGCCTCTCGAACCCGTCGCGTGGCGCAAATCGTTCAAACAGAATATTCACGGCGACGCCCTGATCTGACCCTCGTAGTACGGACTCTTTCAATCCTATAATTTGACAAAATTCGGCCTTGTCGGAAGCAAATGGAAACACCAAGGCAGTTCCACGTGTGGGTAAACCAAGGAGGCCAGCTACTTCTTCGAGTGTTATAGTCATTTGCCTATTGCCTATTCTAAAAGCAGTAAACTCGGGGTCCCAAAGATGAACTAAAGCCTCTACCAAATAATTGTTGGATTTGATCTCTCTAAAGTCTCCAATTGGTCCTAAAAATTGGGCTACTTGATGCAGTTCACTAGGTAACATGAAGGTGGGCCATTGTTGAACCTCAGTTGACGGTATTAATAATTGGTAGATGCGGCGAGGGCAAGCCATCTGATAATGAAGAAGGTAGTTTGTCAATTACCTTACCTACGAGTTTCATTCCTCCAGTTATGCGATAACTTAAACGTGCAATCCCTTGAAGGGTTAAATACCCATGGGACACAAAAGGGTTGGTTTTATTCCTAAAACGGGATTCCCTACGTGGCGTTCCCTTTCTAGGGTTTATGCATGATGCCATTTTATTAAAACAATAAAATATGCAATTTGAAATGAAACGTGACCTAAGGAACCCTTTATTTGCCAGGGTAGGCCTAGAATGATATGCAATCATTAATCTACGAATGCAATATACCAAAATCTTTAAACGTGCAATAACCTATCTACAAGGGTAGGTTCTAAAAGAAAGTCATGCCAGACCTCTTATTTCCTAATGTTTGTGAATGCAAAAGACAAGAGACAAGGAAACGTGAGTTCAACACATAATCACATAACACATTTGGACAATTAGATAATATAAAAAGCAACAAAGACAGATAATGAAAGAGGGGTGGGACCCCTCCCCTCGTGAATAGTGTTTCCTAATTTAGGGTAAGGTCGACTCTTCCCTAGGCAATTCTAATATGGATGCATGAGGCTGGGGTTCGCTAATGCATCTAGACTCGATAAGCTCAGGTCCCCGAGCCTTCAGACTTAGAAACCAAGGGTCATCAATCCCAAGGTTCTCGTCGGTGGCTCGAGCGATTCCCCAAACACCGCTACGCACACATCGTGTCACGGCTACGTGTTTGAATAAATCTATCAAAACCTCAATCTTCGACCAAAAGCTAAAGGCTATCAACCAATAGCTTTAAGCGGAAGATTGAGTGACCCATTGGAACATGCTATACACACATCGTGTCGTGATCACATGTCCAAGTGAGTCACCTAATCCTAATAGGGTGGAGTGGCGTGACAAGCCACTAAAAAAAATAAAAGGGATAAAAGAAGTAAAGCGTATGCTCGTATGCTAGTGCTCGTTTGGAGGGGAAGGGTCAAGAACCAACGCGAGGCTCTAGGGTGACCCATACCTCCCAAAATGCAATGCAAGCGCGAGATAACAAGTAAACATTCATTCAAACATACATTCGTGAGTCGAGGGATTGGTTTGATTACGTACATAAGACAAAAGGTCCTGAAAATGAAAAATGCAATCCTAATATCCACATGCCATGCATAGAAAGGGTAGAAAAAGGAAACAAATGGTTAAGTCAAAATGCTTGGACCCACTTAGGAAGTCCCCAGTGGAGTCGCCAACTGTCGCGCCCCATTTTTTTGATAAGAAAAATAACATGGTTTGAGAAAGATGTTTTTGATTCAAAAATGATTTTTGTGAGTTGAAAAAAGATATGGGTCTAATATGGGACTTGAAAAAGCGACGATTTGACCCAAAAAATAGTTTTTTTTAAAAAGGGTTTTTGAATGAGAAATTGGAGTCGCCACTTGGTAATGATTAAGGTGTACCAAGTCACCTAAAAATAAATTTTTAAAGACAAAGTAGTAAAACCCTTTTAAAAACGACTCCTAGTCTACGTAAAACAAAGAAAAAGGTTCGGGAGTCACGTTTGACAAAGGGGAAGGCAAGGATAGACTCCAAGGCACCCCTTTGACCTAGCCAAGGCTAGTTGCGTGACTTAACCCCAACTTTCCTGACTTTCTACCCAGGGTATGTATTGCATGTTGGATTATGCCTATATGAATGCAAAAACGAAAAAATGCAATCCTAAATTCTACGATGTCTCTCGTGAGGTTTTTGGTCCCAGACCACATGAATTGTGGCGGCCAATAAAGGGAAACCTCATAGAGGTCGATTGATGCAAATGGTGACTCAAGTGCAAGTGTGCAAGTGTATGAAAAGATTCATGTATGAAAGGGTGTAAAAAACAAAGTGTTTGTGTGCGCATGTGTAAAGAAAGTTCACGTGTGAATTTGGATGACAAATCAAAGTATTAGTGTGTGAGTGTGTAAAGAAAGTGCACGTGTGAATTTGGATGAAAAATCAAAGTATTAGTGTGTGCAAATGAATGAAGATAGGATTATAAATATATATGTGAAATTTGAATTCTACTTGTGGAGTAAGATGAGTAAAACATAATGAAAAATATGGATTGAGAAATGTGGGAAAAAAAGGTGATTAAAAGAGCATGGAAGTGAGAAAAAATGAAAGTATGTCCCTAAGGGAATGCAACAAATTGGGTACGGGGATGACGCCTAATTTTTCGACTTTGATTTTCCCTCGGATTAGAAGGTAAAACTAGCGTGCTAAGGCTATCGAGTAGCCACACTCGCTCGTTTCCCTTATCAAGAGGGGATTTTCATGCAAATGAACCCTAACTAGCATGAGATGCAAGTCTTAAAGTGAAGGGGAAGGGGTTTGAGGAACATACCAAATGATAAACTAAGGAAAAATGCGTGATATGTGGTGATCATGCACTTAATGAAAAAGGGAAAAAAAAACCTATTGGGTCTAGCATTGGACTAGCCCTTTCTATGACATCCTACTATCATTAGATTAGTGAAAAAATGAACCAAAACTAGCGTTGAACTAGTGTGGTGACGTACATTCATCCATTCCATTCATCTATACTACAAAAAGCGAGTAGACATGCAAATCACCTAAATCATGTAGCACTTATCATGCTCGACTAGATGCAAAATCCTAATAAAGCATTTAACATATAACACATAGGCATGCAACCATTACATTTGCTAACTAAAACAAAGGGAAGGGGAAAATGGACCAAATTGCTCACCACAGCCCTATCTATTACAAGCCAAGAGGTGTACACATACCCCATTAAAAGAATAACTTAATGAAAACAAAAAGTAAATGACATAAGTAAAAGGAATTAAAGAAAAGCTAGGAAAGCAAAGTAGACATGCAATTCACTTAGCACGTTGAGTCACATAAGAGAAACAAAAAAGATAAAAGGAATTATACCACTCCCTTTTGTAGTGTTAAATGGACGAGACTTAAATTGGGCTAAGTCACCAACTAACGGGATAACATGTGCTAAAACCATTCAAAGCAAAGGGTTAACGCACCAATTTAGTTATAAGATATAAACAAAACTATTGGAATCCACCAAATCATCAAATTTTCCCCCCCAATTGCAACTTAACGAAGTAAAAAGCTAATTAAAGACCAAGTAAAGACATGATCATCCAACCTCCAAGCATAACATCCACTAAAGACCCAAATGCAAGCACTACTCAAATCATTTGAACCTAATTGAAGCATTTAAAAACTCAAAGGTCCCCAAGTAAAAAAAAAATAAAGTCCAAGCAAACATTATATCTCAAGAATCCAAGAATGAATGAAGGTCCATGAATGGTTTAAACTTGCATTTCTAAGACCCAATAATGATCACTAATCAATCATAATCAACGTCAAAATGAATCATCAAAGAGCTTCAAAGGTCCCCAAAATAATAAAGATCAATTAATGATTCAAATGCAAACACCTTAGGACCTAATTGCAAGAACATGGAATGTAATTGGGCCATAATGCATTGCTGCAAAAATCTCAGGGGTCCAATTGAAGAAATTATTCTATTTGTTGGGTCATAGTAACATAAGGTGAAACCTGAGGGGTTCAAGGGTAATTTTCCTGAATTTTCATGCATGCAACGTAGAAAATTTCTGCATTTTTGAAACTTTCTGCAACTATTTTACATTAAGCTCTAAACAACCGAGAATGAAACTGCTGCACTTTGCCTTCAAACTAACTTCATTCTTAGGTTCAAAAACACAACTTCAATTAGATATTTTCCAACCCAACATCACAACTTCAAGTTAAGCAACTAACCATACCACTACCATGATCCAAACAAACAAACAACTCAGAAAGATATCACACCCACTTTTGGGAAAACATGCATGCCACGGCAAGAAAAAAAAACTTCAGCTTCCACAATGTTCCATTTGCTACCAAATTTACAGCTTACCAAATTGCCTTCTTACTCCAAGCAACAAATTCAAAACAGTAAGATTACCCTATAGATTCTTCTAACATGAACAGCCAAAAACCGACATCGAAAGGACAAAGTGAGCTACTGCATATCAGCCAACAAAAACCACTAAGACAGGAATGCGTAAGAACAAGCGAAAACCAGCCATGAAGATAGAGAAAAACTCATTTCCATATTTACCCATTATCTCAACACCGAACCTAATGTGAAAGTAAAGAGAAAATGCATCCTAGAAATGGCAAGCAAACTCAGAAATTCAAGCAAATCCAGATTTTAGCAGCCTGCAATTCATTTTTGACATGGCCTATCAATAAGTATTCAACATAATTCAAACCTTTTCAGCCCCAAACATACAAACCTGACCCCCCCTTTATCATCAAATGTCGCCCAAACATGAAGATTCAAACAAAGACAATGGACAAAAATGCAGCAACCGTAAATCATTAAACTATAACCAATCCATTTTCAGGCTTCAAACAACTTGGGACTGATCGAAACTTTGCCCACCAAAACACATTTCAGCACAAAAGGCATAAACATCCACAAGAGATGAGAAATTTTACCCAAATGAAAAAGGTAATGTCGATAGCAGATGATTTGCTGCAAGACTCGTGCTTTTCCGATGAAGATCGAAGACGATAACAGCAGAGTTGGGTTCCTCCTCTCGCAGAGCTTGACGAAGAGGCCAGGCCAGTCGGATCTCACAATCACACTAGCATCCTTCACCAACGCTGCGGCCTTCTCTTTTCCTTACTCAACCAGTCGCCCACCAGATTCTACTCCACACTCTCAGCCCGTCACTGCCACCCCAAGCTTCCTCTTTTTCCTCCGGTTTCCTTACTCAACCCAGCCGTCCCAAACTCTCTAATCTCTCCTTCAAGCTTTCTCACTCTGATTTCCTCCCCCTTTTTCCAGAATTTCTTGCTGTCTTTCTATCTCTCACGCTCTTCCTCTCTCTTGCTCACTCCAAATTTTTCCATCGTCCTCTTCTCTCCCACTCTCTCTTTCTCCCTTCTCAGTTTTCCTTAGCCGTTCCACTCTCTC